TCTCTCTCTCTCTCTCTCTCTCTCTCTCTCTCTGTGTGTGTCAGTGGTGGGTTTCAAAATTTTTTGGAGCCTCTTCTGTAGGTGTGGCCTGCTTTCCGGGTCCACTGATGGAACCTCTTCTAACCAGTTCGGTAGATTTGACAAACCAGTTCTACCAAACTGGTGCGAACTGGCAGGAACAGGCTGCATGGCACACGCAGTTCTGCCTACCAAAGCAGAGAAAGAACCTAAAAGCTCAGTAAGAACAGTTTTGTGAATCGTTGCTACTATCCCAATTCCTCCTTCTTGAGGCAGCTGTTCCAGTTAACCCACAAGACATCTGGCAAAAGGACCTTTAGAAGTGCTTCTCACCTGGAATCCCAGAAGGTCAAAATAGAAGCTCCACCACCTCCGTGACTTCTCTGGTTATCATGATTGTCCACAAAGACAACAGCTTTATCAGAAGGCATAAAACTCCAGGCTTCACCCCAGTTCCTAAATAAATAAAATAAAATAAAGACAGCAAGAATCAGATTAAGTGAATACTGTATGTCAATGTGTTAGGAATCTTCTTTTTTTAAAAAAGTGGAAAGCTAAATTACTTCAAATAAGTCATCTTTTCTCCATGCCACTTGCGAATGACTGTCCCGAGTTTGGCGCCGTATTTGAACTCGGTTACTCGTCCGTTTCCAAAGTACTCACTGGATGAAATGGACTCCCCACCTAGATCAATCACCTGGTAAAAAATCAGAAGGAAAGATATTGTGGCATACAACCTTAAATGGAAAAAAAAAAAAAACACCCCACTATATATTTTGCATAAATATATCTGGCAACAGGAGTCATCTCCTGATAAAATAACGCAATGGCGCAATCTAATAGGGAGTCTATGTTGAGTAAGATCCTCCTTCTCATTAAGAGAAGTACATTTGGCTTGTCTGTGGTTTAGCTTCTTGTACCGTAAGAATGATGTCAGTGAGGTTTCTAAACCAGGATTTAATTATCCAGAATTGGAATGATGATCTTTTAATCGACTGTTTTTAAATTATTTTCATTAGGTGGCTTATCATAACAAATAAGGTTATGTTTTCATGTCCCTCTACTGCCTTCAACTTTGGCTTTTATCTGGAGCTGGAGGCCTAAGAAAATGTTCAACCTTGCCTTTTTTTTCCCCAATCCTTGTGATGTTTTTGATATCGATCCTTAGTATAAAATAGATATGTAGGCAGTTTACCTCTTGGAAGATGAATGGCTTTGTCCCTTCAGCAAACCATTTCGTGTTGAGATGTTTTAGTTGGTCCAAAAAGGCTTTCATATCCCCAGGCCACATGTGCTTGGAAGCATCAATGCGAAAACCAGCTACACCGATGTCAATTAGGTGATTCATGTACTCTGCAACTTTGGAACGCACATAATCCTTCTCTAGTGCAAGATCAAGAAGACTCACAAGGCGACAGTTCCGGACCTGTTCAGAAAGTTCATTTAAATATATATTCTTGGACTCTTTGGTAACCAAAGAAAATTTCAGGTTGTTTATTTGTATCTCACTTTTATTATTTTTACAAGTAACTCAAGGCTGATTCGCTTAACAGCTGCGGCAAGAAAAGTCGTAAAATGGGACAAAACTCACTTAACAAATGTCTCACTTAGCAACAGAAATTTGGGGCTCGATTTGTGTCCGTCAGTCGGGGGGGGGGGGGGGCTACCTTGGAACGAATTCCAAAAAAGTACCTGGTCATGATCATTGTAATTTTCTATCTCTCCGCTGGCGGTTCTGCATTTCCCATCATTGAAATCCCACGCAGAATACGGTACAGCGGGAAAATCTCGCTTGTTGGAATCGAAGTAGCTTCCGCATGTAGAATGGTGGCCAGACCCAGCAGCAGCTCCACGCATATGGTTGACAACAGCATCCACGTAAATGTACACCTGCGCAGAGAAGAGCCGATCAGGTTACGGCAAGTTGAAAGGAGGCCCTGCTCTATGGGCATGGGAGGGAAGTGACATCAAGCGCTTCCTGAGACATCATCTTCTTTTAATGACCCCATATTCCCTTGCGGGGTGGAGTTTGGGCTGAGTATTGAGAGGAGGAGCCAATGTCACAACGTTACATCGTGCAGACTCGACAGTCCGAATCCGCCAATGACACTTTTGCCCCTGGACGGTCCAACAGGACCTAAACCGTCCCGAAGAGACGGTGACTGGGAAGACAAGACCTTGCTGGTCGCAGGGACATCGCAAAGTCCCTTATCAACCCAAGGGAAGC